CATTGGGACATTTTGCAGTAATGCACAAAGCCAACAGTAGCATCCAGAACCAACACTCTCTGTCTATAAATCGGCCTATTTATATATATTTTATTGGGATTTAGTCCTGGCATTCACACAGCAATGGTTTTCAAGGGCATTCAGCACCATGGCAGACTTGTACCTCACAAACAATAGCAAGATTTCTTCTTGCATGGAAAGGGGGTTGGGCAATAAAGCTACTAGGGACAAGACTATTTATACAGTGGCTGAATCAATGCCATTTTTAACCCTTATGTGATTTCATTGCATTCTAACCATGTAGAAATAGTCAGTGCTTTTGACATTTTCAGACGTATTAAACTCACGTAGTATGTATCTTAATCATGCATGCGTATTTGTCTGTGGTATTCATACCATTGAAACACCCATTTGCTCTGTGTATGATTGGTGTTCACAGACTGTCAGTTATGAACTCTTCATTTATGTTACGCCTGATATATGAGGACAGATTTCAGTTCAGCAGGTTTGTTGTAGATTTACAGATAAGGCACAGTGCGGCAGAAAGCCTCGCTGCCGGAGATAACGGTACTCTTTGTGTAAGTGTGCCCCTTTTCCAGAACCTTCTAAGACACACAATGGATTTGTTATGTTTGTAGCCTAGAGGTAATAAATGGATGATAAATCTTCTGTCATGATACTAAATCGATAAACTAAAGTGTAATAATTGTTATTGTCTACTGGTCAGGTTTTGGGATCAGTTTCTTACAAGAAGTCTCTTATGCTCACCAAGGCAGCATTTATAAAATACAATAAAATAGTCATATTTTGAAATATTATTACAATTTAAAATAAGTTTTTTTAAATAATATATCATTTTATAATTATAATTCTGATGCTCTTTCATCATGATGCTAAGTCAGTTCACTAAATCATTTTTATAATTATAATAAAGCAGTCTTCAATATGTTTTGACGCAAAACTAAAAATTGCTAATGTCTAAAATGAATTTTTAATTACTATTTTTCTTATTTTAGGGTTGACATTTTCTTCTCTTTCATATTTGTATTTGATTGCAGACAGACTGAAATAAAGGAAACGTTCTAGATAGGGCTTGGTTTTGACACAAATTTCACGATTCGATTCGATTTGATTCCCGATTCGATTCAATATCGATTATTTTGTATATGTATATCAGGTACACATGCCAAATTTTTTCAAGGAAAAAAATTCTCTTAACTAATGCTGTAAAATATAGGCCTACATGAGAGTCAGTTGGTACTACATTACTATAATATTGAAGGTTAAAGGGATAGTTCACCCAAAAATGAAAATTCTGTCATTAATTACTACATTAATTACCTCATGTCGTTCCAAACCCGTAATATCTTCGTTCATCTTCGGAACACAAATTAAGATATTTTTGATGGAATCTGACAGCTCTCTGACCCTCCCATAGACAGTAAGGGTACTACCACGATCAACGTCCAGAAACGTAGCAAGGAGATCAGTAAAATAATCCATGTGACATCAGGGGTTCAACCATAATATTACGACGTTACGAGAATACACGGATACGTTGTTTTCGTTCAAATCAAAGCACAAACAATGTAGAAAACGTAGAAAATGGCTGACACAGAACATGCGCTGTTTGCGTTCAGTGGATACTCTCCAAAATGGCGCTAGGGTGACGCGGAGGAGATGAATTGTTGAATAAAGTCGTTTTTTTTTTCTTATGCACACAAAAAGTATTCTTGTTGCTTCGTAATATTATGGTTGAACCCCTGATGTCTCGTGGATTATTTTACCAATCTCCTTGCTACGTTTCTGGACGCTGATAATGGTAGTTCTCTTGCTGTCTATGGGAGGGTCAGAGAGCTGTCAAAAATATCTTAAATTGTGTTCCGAGGATGAACGGAGGTCTTACGGGTTTGGAACGAAATGAGGGTGAGTAATTAATGACAGAATTTTCATTTTTGGGTGAACTATCCCTTTAAAACTGACAGATTTTTTAGGCTATACAACTGCTTAAATAACACTTAATTAAGTTTTTATAATAAAAGTTACAATTACATAATATTTCTACTTCAATTAATTTTTTTAAATATAAATGGTTATATATTTATAGTGGTCCTGTGGCTCAGTGGTAGAGCATTGCGTTAACAGCGCAAAAGGTCGTGGGTTCTATTCCCAGGGAACACACATACTGGTAAAAAATGTATAGCCTGAATGCACTGTAAGTCGCATTAATTTATTTAAATTATAAATAAAAAAATATATATAAATTGTGGTTGCCATAAAAAATATAAATTAAACATTGAAGAACAGTAAAAATTACAATGAATATATGGCGCATATATTTAGCAAAATGCCTCTCTCTACAGTTTAATTTTTATAGCTGACTAATGAGTTTATGGTCACCGAATATGTTTTTTCTGAGGTAAATGTGACGTTATGTGACATTGTTTACAAGCTGTTATATTGACGTCTTTGTGCGTCTGAAACACTGATTGAGAGATTACATGAGACGGGATATGGATCGTAAAGTTGTACTCTTTCTTTTAACTTGCCTTCAGATGTTTAGTCATGTTTATTTTGTGCTGAAACTGGTATTAATGTGGAGGAGATTATTAGTTCTACCGCGTCTGCTGAACTGAGGCACTACAGCGATTTGTCACTCCACATTAAACAGTGCCAAAACAGCATTTATTGTTTGAATAATGCAATATAATGGACAGAATTTGAAATCTGACACTTTGTTTCATATTAAAAGTACCAAAGCACAATGCTTATTGCGATATATTGGATGGGAAGTGCCCTTCAATGTTCCGTCCATTAACTGAAAACAGGCTAGACTAATCGATTCTTGGGATTTAAGAATCAATATCGTTCCATAAAAAATGAGAATCGATTAAAATCGAGATATCGATATTTTTTACCCAGCCCTAGTTCTAGATTCTTTTCCTAGATCCTTTTTTTTTTTAATGCATCATTTAGCCCAGCATGTGCTGCATCTTTACAAACCAATTCCCAAAAGTAATATCAGCTCACCGAAACCCCTCCGCCCCAAAAAAATTACGAGTCACAGTATGTTGCAATAGTTGTCATAGCACAAAAGCAATCGCTCTGTGAAAATTATTGTGGCAAAAGTACAGTGATTATTTCCTTAATGACTTTAATCACAAGCCCTTGGTCCTGTCAGTTATATTTATTTCTCTGTGTCTACTGAATACACATGCTATAGCTGTCTGCAGTTGTGTGTTTATGGAGTGGGATGGGCTCTTTGACAGTCATCAAATAGGAAGTAAGCCCTTTCACTCATTGGTCTGGTTAATATTTAGTGATGACATCACATCACACACATGTCATATCTGAGCGGATCCTAGTACAAAGACAGTGAGTGGAGTGTAGTCCTTTAAGAAGATCGACAGACCTCTTATTGTGTCACTGTACAAGTGAGTGTGAAGATTTCCTTTGTAAGTCTTTTTTTATTATTTAAGTGGTTGTATATTTGTGTTGTGGGCTTGAATTTTTTTCTTCATCAGGTTGTCAAACTATTTTATGTGTGGAATAAGCAAGAAAGAAATGTCAGAAGCATCTTACCTGGGCTAAGCAGAAAAAGAACTGGACTGGTGCTCAGTGGTCCAAAGTCCTCTTTTCAGATAAAAGTACATTTTGCATTTCATTTGGAAATCAAGGTCTGGAGGAAGACTGGAGAGGCACAGAATCCAAGCTGCTTGAAGTCCAGTGTGAAGTTTCCAAAGTCAATGATGATTTGTGGTGACGTGACGTCTGCTGGTGTTGGTCCATTGTGTTTTATAAAGTCCAAAGTCAGTGCAGCCGTCTACCAGGAGATTTTGAAGTGACGTGACATGTGGCCAAGTATGGTGACCCATACTCGGAATTAGTGCTCTGCATTTAACCCATCCAAAGTGCACACACACAGCAGTGAACACACACACACCGTGAACACACACCCGGAGCAGTGGGCAGCCATTTATGCTGCGGCGCCCGGGGAGCAGTTGGGGGTTCGGTGCCTTGCTCAAGGGCACCTCAGTCGTGGTATTGAAGGTGGGAGGGAGCGCTGTACATTCACTCCCCCCACCTACAATCCCTGCCGGTACGAGACTCGAACCCACAACCTTTGGGTTATGAGTCCGACTCTCTAACCATTAGGCCATGACTTCCCCTTTTTTGGAGCACTCAAGCTTTGTGGAGATGCTTATTTCCTTTTCCAACAGGACTTTAGCACCTGCCCACAGTGCCAAAACCACTTCCAAGTGGTTTGCTGACCATGATATTACTGTGCTTGATTGGCCAGCCAACATGCCTGACCTGAACCCCATATGGAATCTATGGGATATTTTCAAGAGAAAGATGAGAAACAGTCGATTCAACAATACAGACGAGCTGAAGGCCGCTATTAAAGAAACCTGGGCTTCAGTCGTGCCACAGGCTGATCACTTCCATGCCACACTTCACTGATGCTGTAATTTGTGCTAAAGGAGCCCCAACTAAGTATTGAGTGCATAAATGAACACACTTTAAAGAACTTGAGCTTTTCTGTTTTACAAATCCTTTTTTTTTTTTTTTTTTTTTTTTTTTTTTGATCTTAGGAAATATTCTATTATTTTGAGATACTGGATTTTTGGCTTTCGTGAGCTGTAAGTTCTAATCATCAAATTTAAACCAAAAAAACTTTTGAAATATTTTACTTTACATGTAATGAATCTAGAATATACAAGTTTCACTTTTTGAAATAAGTTACAAAAAAAGAACTTTTTCACAATATTCAAATTTTTGGAGATCTGTATATGTTGATATGAATGAAAATAAAATTCATATAAATTGGTATATGCACTCATAGATTTTCTTACACATTGTTGCTGTACTAAAATGTTTTCTAGAACATGCAGAAAGTTATATTCTTAAAATAAAAAACAAGTTAAAGTAAATGCACTGTTTTTTAGGCTTTTTTGATGCGGTGGACTTTGTAGTCAAAGGGATTTTGAGATCAGAAATCATTTATCATAACCATCGGGAGCTCATTGCTCTTTATCCTTCAGTTGAGAAAGAGATGAGAGAGAGAGAGGGGGGATGGGGTCATAGATGGAATTCAGAATCTACCGAGCACGTGCTGACAGGATTGTCTGTTTACAAACCCCTCCCTCTCCTCCTCCTTTTCATATTGCCACCTTCCCAGCAGCACCAGGCCTTGAATTCAGCAGCGGCTTAGAAGAGAAGGTGGACTCATCCTCCGGTTGACCAATCGCAGTTAAGCATCCCACATGTGACGAGCAGTGAGGGCTGGTCTTTAAGCTTTGCAGCGGAAAACCACCGGGACAGACGGACGGAGTGAGCGTGAGAGAGAGCTAAAGCCTGCCATACGCACTAATCCCTCCGCAGTGATCATGTGTCAGGGGAGTCTGAAGCAGCAGAAGCAGAAGGGGCCGGTGCGGAGCACTGCGGGGAAATGGTGAGATGCCGCAGGTCTTTGCACAGCTCTCCCTGTTGCTACAATCTCCACAGAGTCAGGGTTGATGTGCGGCGTTTCCGTCCACCGGGCTCCTCAGCGGGAGCGACAGGAGAGCCCGCACACGGCGCCAACAACGCCGGCCCGGGGGACCCGGCTCAGCTCAGCCACCAGAGCCGATTCAGGTACCGGCAAGGAGTGTGTGAGATGCTAGGATGTAGTTCAGGCTGAGAATGTGTGTGGATGACGGGTGAATTTTGCTGGTCGCATCTAGAACAGTTGTTGTCGGCGCACTCGTGAGTGAGAGAGGACAATTGAAGGATCAGCAGAGCTGGAAAGTGGGCGAGCGAGAGGGATTACGGAGACCTTGCATGAACTGGGCCACCCTGCAGAGGGACAATCAGTGTGCAGTGTGAGTTCGTGTGACGGGACTCGGTCCCCCCGGATGAGCCCCCGTCACTGTCCCGGCAATTGTGTTAGGCCTAATTGCAACGTAACATTAGGCTGTTGCGAGCACTCTCCGTCCAATTCAATCCACACCATTTGCATAGCTCTACTCGGAGCAGATGCTGTTCCCCTGGATTGAGCGAAAGATGCAAAGAGCTAAGGGAGGCTCAGATTCAGCCACTGATTGGCCAATATGTGCCTGCAATGAGGAAACGAGGGGGGCTATGTAGGACAGAGTGTGTGCGAAAGAGAAAGAGTCCGAATCCGAAGACTTTACGTTGTCTTTTTACTGGCTGCAATCATCAGCTCTCAAACAGCCTCCGCAGTTTGTGTAATGCACTGTGAATAGCTGTTGAACTGCAAGGTTCTGCGATGGCTATTCATCTGCTCTGGACAGGATGGGGGAGGGGTAGAAACGCTCTAAATTCAATTGAATGATAAACTGATGACTGAAAGCTCTCGTAAAAACCCAGAGTCATTGTTTAGAGCCGTTTAAGCGCACTAGGGCACAGCGCACACTTTGGCATATTAACTGGATTTGCCAACCGCTAGAATGAGGTTACATAATGCACAGCGCTAAAAGTGTTTAATGTGAAAGGTTATACCAGGCATTTGCACAGCACTTTTACAAATGTAGTTATAGGATGGAAACAATATTTGCACAGAGGAGCTGCTAAACGCGGGTTATCAGGTTCATTGTTAGGTTGTGTAATAATGAGTAGTTTTACCTCTAAATATGTTGTGACAAAGGACACTAGATTTTTACATTTTCAAGAAAATGTGAGTGGTGGTGGCATCGGCAAAGTTGCTTTTGTGATTCTAGGACGTTGCTATGGCTTTTTACGTGGTTGCTTAGTGTCCCAAGTGAAAAGAGCCCTCTGTATTGGCTCAAATCCAAACTTCAATGTAAGCCTTTTGTCTTTTTTTTTTTACTTCCAGGCAGAAATGTTTGTCTGCCAGGTGCAGGTCAAGTTAGGTAGAATTTTTAAATGAAAGATTTGAACAAAACCCTACAAATAAATGTGAGCAGAAGGTAGGACGCTGTCTAATCATAGGCCATATTAAACATTATGTAATAATGGTTCACAGTTTAAAGTGCTAAACGCTTTTTTTTCATAGAGGCATTACCTGTTTGTTTATATTTGAATGCTCATGCGTATTCGTTGACTGACCTAAAAATACAGCTATTTTTGTATTGCTTGAGTTAAAGAACATACAATACCAGTAACCCAGGCACACTGGAAAACATGCCCATGACAACATTTCTGCAAAATTATACTACATTGCTTCTTGCACATTTCGCGACACTTTCAAAGTGAATTGTCGGCGTTAAAAGGTTAATGCTCTATCATGATTGAAAATGATGTACTGTCTAGACTTAACCCTACTTTAAACCTAACCAGTAGTGTTAACAAAAGCAAACATGAAATGCAAACGCATTTGCTAAAGCAACCCTGCAATTTAGATTGCTTCCACAAGTTTTTGAGCTCTCGTATTTCATGGGACTCGTACATATATGCTCCGCAATGCAAGTGCAGTGTTGTACCAGGTGAGCTATCGAGCAAGTTTACTATGTCAGAAAAGCCATACATATAGAACATTTTATGATGCCAACATCAAAGTGAGTTAGTTTACAAATTAATAATCTACCCCTATAATCATCACGACTGCCACTAGTGTTTGGAAACTGAAGTGAATTGTATGTATAGGTACATTTTTGGAGTTTTAGGTAGAGGCATGAGGCAATATTATTTTAATGTTACATTGAAAAACAGCTTCAGAGATTTCAGTCTTTAACCTTTCAAATGCATAGAAGCTGTACTTAACTGGAAGTTTCTGTTTGGCGCCATTACCAAGATGGCTGCCAAGTGGACTCGCTTTCTTTTACTCAAAGGACTTTGAGCATCACTATTTACATTTGCTCATACCAGAGCTGTGACTAGACTGGTCTCCAAAGTATGGTCCGATGTTATGCCTGCTACAGTTTGTCTATTTAGAGTAAGAGCAATAAAAATGTACACCTTTCTGTGGGAGAGGAATCGTGCTGTTATGATGATGCACAACAGGTCAATGTACTTTAAGATTGTGGAGGGAAATAATGTAGCCCAGGCACCAAAAGGTTGCCCACTGAACCCGACAAACCTGGCGTGAGCTAGTGTTGCTATAGTTTTTATCGTCAATACACTTGAGGATTATTACCATCTGATTACTCGCCCTGACCATGAAGAAAATGTTGATCTCTCAAACAGAGGTTATTGGATAGCACATTTTGAAAGGGTCAAAGTAAAGATGTTCTGGTGTGCATCATTGTGAGCAAAGTCAGGTGACACATTGAGTGTTTGTGTTAGCCTTTTATGGCTAAGTCTCCTCTGTCCACAGGTCAGAACAGGGTTTCATCCTGATTAGGGTGGACACAGTATTATATTCTATAGATAGCCCATGTAGCTGCAGCCCTGGATGGTAGCTGTCAACCCCGCTGGTGCTGTGTCATCACTTTCAGGGCCAAATATGACCCACTTTACTGACACAGTAAAGCTAATCTCACTTTAGCCAGAAGCAGTAGCTCTTAGTGTCATTCTCAATAAAAAGCGAGCAGTTCTAGCCAAACAAGACAACGCGTTCCATCGACTGGACTAGAATAGAGGTGCAATATTCTTGCACGTGCCGTTCCGTTCGCCTAACAGTTGTGTTGATCTGGAATGTTATCCACCCGCACTGGTGCTAAAAATAGCGCAATGGACACAAAAAATTAAAAAAAGATTACTGGCGGATATCCCTCATGGCTTCAGTAGTTCTGTGGAAGCATCCCACTCGGCATGACCCATAAAAACATGCATGTTCGTGTTGGTTAAATAGGTTTATGTTGATTAAAATGTGGCCTTTTTTTGAGACTGGACCATGCCTTTGGTCATGTATTTCTCCTCATGTACCATTTCTAGTGCAAGTGTAGCAGGAAGTTGACGATAAACCCTAAATGAGACTAAAGGTGTTAAGCAGGTGAAAGCAGCCTTTGCTTAGACTGATGTAAGTGGAATTGAGCTGAAAGGAGAGGAGTATATGGTCAGTTTAGTCAATAAAAGCAGTGTGAACAGCCATGAGGTTAGATTTACTGTAAAGTGGAGAATTGCTATTTCTGTCTCTTTCCTATCTCAGGAATCTTTTCTAGCGTTTGTCTTCTGCTGTTTATTGTCTTCTGTATGGGCGTCTTTGTGTTTGGTCTTTGGTATGTGTGAGTGGGCTGTGTGTATGTTTCTTCATTTTTATAAATATTTCCTTCTTTCTATTATTATTCAAGAATCTCAAGAAAACATGTTTAGGTAACATTTCACCCTAAAATTAATAAGAAACAAGAAACTGTATTAAAAAAGACTATTATGTTTCTTAGACCATTATGTGTTGTTTTTGTTTTGGGGTTTTTTTGGCATTGTGACATATTGATAAATTAAATTTTCGCCCATTTCCCATTACCATAACAAATTTATACATTTTTCTTTTTTTTTTTTTTTTTTTTTGTAATTCCTATTATTCTCAATGGGTATTCTCATTATTGTACTAATATCTTAGTAATTTTCACTGAACAGAAATTATACGAATACATGACCATTTTAATGTATTTAATGTAATTATATTTGTATTTAGTTTAATAATATTAATTGTAATTATGATAATAATAAATAGTATTTATATAATATAAAATTCAATTTAATAATATTAATTTTATTTTTCATTTTTAAAGTAATGGCAATTGTGGACAAATATGATTGTCAAGAACTTAATTATATTTATGTAATATTTATGTTTAATTGAATGATTTTCTATTGCCTTGAGGTAATAACAGTTTTGGAAATACATGCTTAGTTGTCAAAAAAGTTTGTAATTTTTTCATTAGTGTCAACAAATGGAACTGCAGAAATATTTTTTTCCAGCAGGTTTTCACTCCCACGGTCTTTCATTGAACAGACATATAAATCATCCTGCCCCAAATTCACAAAATTCTTACTTCTTTCTTAAGATTTTTAGGGTAAAATATGATCCAGAAATGGTCTTGACAGGTTTCTTGAGATTTGCTCTATAACAGTGGTGCTCAGTCCTCTTCCTGGAGGTCTACAGGCACAGTTTAGCTCCATACCTATCCAATTACCAATTAAATAAGATCTTCAAGAACCTTAGATAATTACAAACAGGTTGGAGCATAGTTTGAACTGAACTATGCAGCAGGTAGATCTCCATTAACAGGACTGAGTACCCCTGCTCTACAACATTTAGACCATCTGTGCATATATCTTTCATTTCCACCTTCTTTATACTTCACATGTGTCTGTCTGGGTATTTTGTGCACTTTGGCATCACGGATGTGTTGTGCAGGTTGCAGTTCCCACAGTTGGCCCTACGGCGGCGACTAGGCCAGCTGAGCTGCATGTCCCGGGCTACTGTCCGCCTTCGCTCATGGCCTCTGTCCATCCTCTACTACATCCTGCCCTTTGGAGCACTCAAACCTCTTGCCAAAGTAGGCTGGAGGCCCACAAGCAGAGTAAGTACAGTGGAAACAACAAATAGAGCCCACAGACTGATGTTGTGTGTGTTTGAGTTTGCAAAATCTCACTATCCAGAGACATAAATGCTATCCATCAGTGAGTAATCAATGTGTAATGGCCATTTGGGATTTTGTCTACGATTATAGGAAATGTTACTGGAATCATTAAGGAATAATGCCCTAAATAACCCTGATCTGGGATCAGTACTTTTCATTCATAGCCCAGAGAAGAAAGGAAGCTACAAAACTGATGTGAGGTCAGCAGAACGTGCTGCTGCTATCAGCAGATGGCCGCTTGCATATGGACCCGCTGAGCTCTGAGCTCCATTGGGACTCGTGTGAAAAGAGCCATTGTCCCACAGTGCAGCTCTGAACTGAGGAACACTTTGTCTCTAGACCCAGTCGAGGGCATCGTGCCACGGTGGTTCTGACACCACTATTGTTCAGTTCCCAAAAAAACATTGCCAGTCAGCCCATGCGGATGCTCTGAAGCAGATACCGTATCTCCAGTGGCAGACAGGAAGTTACAGAGAAAAAGGAAAACGTTTGGTTTGTTAATCTAAATCAGGCGTCATGGCATCATGATTATGAAATCTTGTACATATAACTGCCACACTGATAGTAGTACACATATTACGTTTCCTTTAGTCATTTAGCGGATGCTTTTATCCACTTACAAATTAGGAACTTCTCAAACAATTTATCATTAGAGCCAATAATATTTGCAATACACAATAATAAAGTTTTAAGTATATAACTATATTTAAGTACACTAGGAATATACAAGTATCGGATCGAGACTCGGTATCAGCAGATACTCAATATTCAATGACTCCGATCAGATCGGGGGCACAAAAAACCTGATCGGGACATCTCTATATATAAGTATAGTAAGTAATTAGTAATTTTAATTTAATTATACAAGTAATAAGTATACTAAGAGTATATATATATATATATGAGTATATTTTTATATTTAATATATCTTTAATACTTTTAACATATTCAGCATTCGGTTGTAATGTTATTATGTTTTGTTAATGAAAGGAGTCATTTATTATTTATTATAGTTATTTAATTATCCTCACAGCACCTGAAATAAAAAGAAACATAGACCTTGCATCTCAACTATTTCCCATTTGCCAAACCAACGTAAAACAAGTATAGCAAACAAAACAAAACCATTACCACTAGCAACTGGAGTTTAATTAAGTAAATATAATAATAATAATACATTATTATAACTAATAATAAATAATATTACACAGATAAGATTTTTTAAAATACTCTAGGATGTGAACTCTTTATTTGAATTTTCAATTTGCATTTTATAAAGCAATTAATTGACAATTTTTTTAAGAGGTTAGTATAAATGTATTGGTATATTTATTTGCTGTTTAAAAAAAGAGAACATATAATGACACACTTTTGGTTCTTAAAAGAGAATTTTCTGGGTCAGATATCCTACATTTCCTGCTTGTTAAAGCCATAACTATTATCTACAACCCACCAACCCTGTAAGACTCCGAGAGTGTCCACATTTAGCCTCCTGTCTGTCAGCTGGGATTGAAGCTAACTACAGTAATCCACTTACACTGAACACTCGGGCCAGCTCCTGTCATGCATCAGCCTCCATACTATCTGTAACACTGATCTAGGATCATTCCTTTTGCCCAGATCAGTAACGATCAGCGAGCTACACTGATCTAAACACTCTAGGAAAGCACACGTTGGAGCACATGGTGCACAGCGGGTGACGTAAAGCCATATGCAGGTGCTGGACTCAATACAGCAGGTTTAAAACTCTTTAGATGCTCACATGCATTAATAATGAGTGTACACATCTTT